CATCTTTACTTTTATTTTTATTTATTTATTTTCCGACGAAGGTCATACCACCTGCTTTGGCCTTTTGAAGTTTAAATGTTACCTTAAGGTCAAAGTGTTTGAACTGTGTCCTCCCACCAACCCTCTTTACTTTGGGGCGTCAGTGCGACGCTAGGAGATTAAGGGGATGGACAAAGAAGTGTAAAACATACAGACATAAAATAAAACCTGGTACGTTATTTGTAAACCGTTTGAAGTGAGAATCTGTGGAAAAGTTATGAACAGTTAATATCTGACCTTTTGTAGATAGCTCTTTGACTGGCCTACGTTTGGATAAATAGAGCTTTAGTTTGATTGGATTGATGAGCTAACAGCTGATCAGAGGAGAGCCAAGACAGAGGATTGCTGCATTTAGTTTTGTATGTGGTGTAGTATGCACGCCTCTAACTATGACCCCTGACCCTTCCAGACTGACCATGAATTGTGTCCTTTAAAGTAACATTTGATTTCTGTTGTTTTCCACACATTCACTGTCCTTGGACACAGTCAGCTGAAGCCCGACTAATGTTTACCCTTTCTTCTATGCATTTAAGAAAGAAAAAAATCAAATCATTAATAAAGTTTGTTTTATTTGATTTTAACAAGTGTGAACATGACTAATTTTGATTACTGTTTTCAACCATTACAATGAAATTATGTGACATATTATAATGTGTTTAACGTATTTCTCTGTTCTGATTTTCAGAAAGTTTTTCCTTGAAGAGACACCTGTTGGAAGCTCTTTGAGCTGGAGCGGTTCGCTTCAGAGGGGAAGTCACAATGTTCTTAAGAGTATAGTCAAAACAGTTTGATGGGAGCTGTTGTTTTACACAAAGTCTCTTTGTGTGACAAAGCAGTTCGCCTTGGACTCCCGAACCTGACCAGTTCGCTTTTGGACCCAATCCTGGTGGTCGTCCTGAGGTCCACGTGTTCATTCCTGGGCAGATATAAAACATGTTGCTCAACTACAGCAAAATAGAAGTAACTACAGAAGGTGAAGTATTTTTCTCACTGCAAGACTTATGTTCTCGGCTTAAAGTGTAAGCCGGCTGAAGGTTGCGATGAGCGACACCTTCTTATCAGCTGTTGCTCTCACAGGCCCCTGAAGCTGTCACAGTGACGATCAACTACCTTGGGCAGTTCCTGGCAAGTCCTCCTCGTGGTGTCCTGGTCTGATCCACGAGAGAACTCCAAAAAGACGAGTGATCCGGTGCCCTCAACACTGACCCAGTAAGGAGCAGAACCTGGTGTCATGATGCAATTCTTAGTCTGGTTATGTCATTTTTAGCTGATGCAAATTGGTAAATAGTTTCCCGGCTTGCAGTGATAATAAATGACTTGATCTAGAAGTTAAATAACTTCTTTTAACCGAAATCCAAAGCAAACTGTTTATTAAAATAGTCAAGCTTTGTCTAAATTTGTGCGCATATAAAAACCTAAATATTTCCTGCTCAAAGAGTTCATTTTGCCTTAGATAAGAGAATTAAGCCTTGATTGATTAATTATTACTGTTTATTATTGTTGTTGATTCTTAGTTTGATTATTTTTGTAATAGATTTTCAAAGACAACTTGGGTTTCTTCATTTGGATTCATTCATTTATTGGTTATGTTGTGGGACTCCCTGTAATTAACAGATTCTACTTCAGTGACTGATTCTGAGTATTAAAAGGTGAATACATTAATTAAGTTGTTGGTCAGTAAAATGACCAGCTGGTGCCCCGCCCTGCTTTAACGAGTGCTAAATAAGTAAACACAAATATAGTGGAGTGTTGTGGAGAAAGTGTCACCCTTCTTCCTCCATTTCACTTCGTAATTGCTACAGTGATTTTCCATCCATCCATCCATCCATCCATCCATCCATCCATCCATCTTTCCAATCATAGCTGGTGACCATGTCCAGCAGTCACTGTGCAAGAGGCAAGGTACACCCTTGACAGGTCTCCAGTCCATCAAAAGGGCATAGAGACAAACGAGACAATCACTTACTGTCTCAAATAGGGACAAATTTGAGTTGTTAATAAAATAAACTAACATGCATGTTTTTAATCTAAGGGAGGAAATGGAGTCCCTGGAGAAAACCATTTGTATCATGGAGAGATTATGCAAACTCCATCAAGTAAGGCCCCAGGTCAGGAGGTAATCTGAAACCATCTTGCTGAAAGGGTAAAAGCACTAACCACTGCTCCACTTCTTGGAAATAAATATTATACTGGTGGAAAGTCTGTTTATTAACCCTTAAATGGTGCCACAGTTATAAAAATGCATTTTGTGGGCTAAGAAGAAGAGTTGAGGATGTGAGATGCACCCATGAACAACTAGCCAAAACTTCCCTGCCAATCCCAAACTGATAATTCCAATATTGACTCTTGTTTTGGTGGCTCAGTTGATAGAGCTGTTGCCTCTCAGCGAGAAGGTTGCCGGTTAAAATCTCATCCTGGGACCTTTCAGGGTGGAGTTGACATGTTCTCTCCATTCATATGAGTTTTCCCCAGGTACTCCGTTTTCCTCCCACAGACCAAAACCATGCATGTTAGGCTGATTGGTAACTCTAAATTGTCTCTAGGTGTGAGTGAGAGAGTGAATGGGTGTTTGTCTCATTTGTCTCCATTTGTCCCTGTGATGGACTTGTGACCTGTCCAGGGTGTACCCACAGTGATAGCTGGACATGGGCACCAGTGACCCTCGTGTCCCAAAAAGGAAGAAGCAGGTAAAGATAATGGATGGATGGGCTTTTGTTTTGAACTTCTGGTACCTTAGGTGCAGACAGTCAGGTGTTTTATTGTCACTACCTGTAAACAACAGGTGACAATCCTTTATCTCCACAGTCTGGGACCAAACTATTCTCCAAGTTTACAACATTTGCCCCCACAGTGCAGTTTATCAGAAGAGGGGAGAGGTTTGAATGACTTGCCTTCAATCTTCACCTCAACCCCACTGAACATCTGGGGCTGTTTGTACTAGAGACCAACACGTCCTTGGCTGAGTTGCAACAAAAGCTGGATGAAGAATGTGATTGTATCCCACAGCGACCAAGCTGCTGAGCAGCATGAGGGGGAGGTGCCAAGCTGTTGTGGCTGTGTATGGTTCTTCCACATGCTACAGAGGCTCCTGTTTGTTAAATAAATAAAGTATTGAATTGCCTGAATGTCTTGATTATTAACACTTCAGTCATACAATCTAATAAACAACATCAAACAGTAGTCAAAAGCAGAATAAGCTGTTTGACACTGACAGAGAAGTTTCTTCATGCTGAGTTTTGAACCAGAGGTTCTCTTTTTGTGAGGTAACCCGGCTAACCACCACTCCACCATGCAACTCTATATAAAGACCATTAGACACAAGTAGACCTTGTAGCTAAACTGGGTAAAATTATGAGAGTGCATCCAAAGTGTTTTACAAACATAGAAACTTTTTATTACAACAGCATCTCACTGCAGTTTTGGCCATGTTCTCCCCCCCCCCCCCCCCCCAAAAAAAAAAAAAAAAAGAAAAACACATTCAAATCACTGCTGTACAGTGAAATACTTTTTTTTAAATCACAGCATAAAAATGATCTTTGAACATATCCTAACACGTCATTCACAGTTTGGGATATTTAGTCGTGATGAGAAGAAGCTCAGCAAGCTGTTGGTTTTTGATTGGCACCGTCACTAAAACACCCTCTGAGAAAAACATTTCTTAAAATTCCTGGTTCCACGGCCCATATGACAGAAACGCTTCGTGTCAGTCAGTCACGTGTGTGTGTTTTATGTCTTTTGTATTCGCAACAGTTTGATATAAAATACCGCTTCAACACATCGGCAAAAAAAAAAAAAAAAAAAACATTTAAAGATTGCTCCCCCTGTTTTAACAAATCATGGACTAGCAGATTCTCACTGCTTTTTTCTCCTTACAATTTTAACATAATGTGCAAACTTTATACCAGACAGAACACGCATGACTATAAAATATTATTTTTTCCAGCACCGATGTGCTGTAAAAACCCAGATGAGAAGGGTAGACCTAAGAAAATATCTGCATTTTTTTTCCAGACTGGGTTAAAAACAACAGAAAGGCAAATTCTGCATCCTTGTTGGAAAAAAAAAAAAAAAATCAGACTTTTGTATTCACACTCTAGCATACATAACATAAACCTTACAAAAAAAAAACCATACATTTTATCACAAAAAAACATTTAAAGGAATAAGTTTAAATTAGATGTAGAGCCTCCAGAGAGCTTTTAAGATTTATATCAAAACACAGTAAATACACTGAAAGTTTGATGACCCTGAAGCTGAGTTACAAAGTGAGACACATCAAATCTCAGCTGCTTTTTAAATTTTATTTTTTGCAAATGGAGAAAATCTGTCAAATAAAAAGTTGAACCACTTCTATGAGAGTTTAGACCTAAATATGTACACCTGACATTTTATTATCAGACTTTAAGCTGGGAAACTATCAGTTGGCTAATGAAAGCCAAACAAGTAATTATTTAGTGTATTTTATTGCTGTTATCTTTAAAATTAAAACCTTCTTTAATGATTAACTTTGCCACTGTTTCTGACGTAGAAAAACAAAACGTTTCTTAGGTTTAATAGTAAAAAAATAAAAAATTTAAACACTCCTGCTTAATAATTGTCACTTTTTGAGTATATTTCAGCAAGCGTTATCTCATTTGTTAATTACAACTTAAAAAAAAGGTTTAAAAACATAAAATAAAATTAAAATTTATGTGTTTTGTTATTTAAAAGACTTGAAGAAATTAACCCAACATTTACAGTGTAGGAACCAAAGTGCAGCTAATTTTAAACGTAGCTGTCGTAATTTCTCTTCTCTAATTCGGCAGTTAGGTGAATCCAAACGGCCTGTAGGTGTTTCACTATGAGCCTAAACTTAGGATGCAAAAACACACCAAAAAAATTACGTCAACTTTCACCAGAAGTGGAAAAACAATTTCCTGAAACACTTCATCTAGTTTTTACAGCGTAAAGATGATAAAAAGTTAATTTTCTGTAAATATGTGGTTGTTTTTTGCCTGTTCGATGTCAATAAACTCTGAAGTCTCCTCTGCTATTTGTCCAGGGATACGGAAATCAATGGGTATGGGCTGCGCTGTCTCAGCCAGCTGGCACTGGGCCACGGGGCAGCAGGCCTCCCCCTTAGGACTGGAAGTGCTGCGAGAGTTCGGGGGATCCAAATTGCAGCCGGTGCCCTGAAGAAACTGAAGGAAGTTCTCCTCTATGGATCCTTCGCGGCTCGGCAGCCTGTCCTCCACTTCGAGCCCTGCTCTGCGAAACAAGCAGGGCAGGTGCTTGCCCAGCTCCTCGCGGATCTGCCTGTTCAGGCAGCCGTAAAAGAAGGGGTTAGAGGTGAAGCAGAAGTAGCCAATCCAGGTGACCACCTCCTCCAAGGAGGCCAGTGCGGCAGGTGGGCTGGCAGCCAGCGCAGAGTACAAGTGGAAAGTGAAGTAGGGAAGCCAGCAGCAAAGAAATTGCCCACCTACTGCTGCTAGCACCGCTGCAGCCTTTCCTCCCCCAAAGGGTCGCTGCGGAGTAGCTCTGTCTGTCCCAGTACCTGTCCCAGAGCTGGTAACCATCGTGGACCGGCTGCTGAGGGACTCTGACCTCTGGCGACGGGGCGTTTCCATCCAAGTAGGAAGGGGTCCGTGGTGCATGGCGGCTACTCGAGCCACTTTGAACATGTTGCAGTACACAACTAGGATGACCAGCAGCGGACACAGGAAATACACCAGAGCGAAGAGGACCATGAAAGCTAAACGGTTCGACCCACCCCCAGTCCAGTGCAACGAGCAGCGCCTGTGACCCTGAGCGGGGGGTGATGGAATGGCGCCTCCGCCTCCTCCCCCAGCTCCGCTACCTTCCAGAAGAGGAGCTCTGCCGCTTTGCAGGAACCAAGCGAGCAGCGGCAGAGCAGACATGGCCAGAGCTTTGACCCATATTCCCACTAACACGGAAGCCACCAGGCCGACCGTCATCTTCACTTCGTAACGCATGGGATGGATGATGTAATAGTACCGTTCCACGTTGATGACTGAGATGGAGAGGATGGCAGCACTGACGAGGCACACGCTGAGAAAGAGGTAGCTCCTGCACAAAGCCTCCCCGAAAAACGCTCGGCTGGACAGCATGCCAAGCGGCATCAGCACCAGGGCCGCCAGGAGGTCCACCACACACAGGTGGAAGACAAAGGCAAACTTGTGGAGCTGGGGGGCCTTCGCAATGACTGCCATGACAGCCACATTACCCACCACAGCCAGCAGGTCCATGAGCAGCATTGCCAGCAGGGCTAGTGACTGGGACAGAGCCCAGCCCTCGGACAGAGAGGAGGCAGACGTGTTGGAAGTGGACTGAGGAGGTGTTTGGGAGGAGTTCCACATCGACTCCATCGAAGGGCGGGATGAGGCAGGCGGGCAGGGTCAGTCACAGGCCCATTACCCATCCTTCAAAGCCAGGAAGTGCAGCCAAAACAAAAAAAAAACAGAGGCTCAAAAATGAGGTCAAACGTTTCCTTGTAGCCCAAATGAAGATGGCGAGATCGTCAGGAGGTTCCGATTTTATGTTTCCTGATTGTTCAAAAAAATCTTCTTATCTGCAGTCACATCCCGCCCTAAAACGACAGAACATCACAGGATAAAACGTCAGATTTTTTTCTATTTTAAGTTTTTCTTTATTTGCAACTCTTGGTGAAATAATCCTTTAGTTGAATTTCACTTCAACTGCCTTTAAAGCAACAGCTTACATTGTTTGAAGTGAGGTTCCGTGGAAACGTTATTAACTATTAATATCTTACCTGTTGCAGGTAGTTCTTTGAACAACCACAATTTGGATAAAAAACATTAACATCAATTTTGCATTGCACAATTTCCACAAAATTATATGATTACTTCTGAAAGCAACTAGCCACAGCAGCAGCTAGCTGTAGCTCTTCCTGGGAGGAAGATCCTCAAATTCCTCCCAGAATCACCACGTAATGTCAAACTGACAACAGCATAATGATTTATTACAGGAACAACTATAACATTTTTGAGGCTGGAGATTGTGGAAACTATCCACTTAGTCCTTGACCTTTCTCTGACTAGTCGTTAGCTTGTCAATGCTAATAATGGAACCTGAGTCCGAATTTCATACCATACACATGCAAATGTGAGCTGGTATGACAATACAAAATCATTGAATCTTTGAAATGTTAGATAATTCAGATTAGCTCCTCAAATCTCGATTAAAAATGTTGTTTTTATGACTTTTAATTTTGTGTTTTTATAATGTAAAGCACTTTGAACTGCCTAATTGCTGAAATGTGCTTTACAAATCAATTTGAATGATTGATTGATTAAAATAGTGCAAATAATCAAATAACCCAAAACCAACTCTCTTATTAAATAACTCCATTAATTATTTTCATTCCAAACTTAAACATTAAACACTTTTTAAACAGCAACACGGAAATCCTGCTCAGTCAAAATGTTTAAAACAACTTTTGCACCACTATGGTGACACTGCCATTATCCAAAACTTTATCTTTTATAATTAATAAAGTGGTCAATCAGCAGACAATATCTACTTTTCAAGCATACATCCTCTCAAAGCATGCATGCAAGCTAATTTACCAAAACTAATCCTATCATTGAAAAGGTACCAGCACTGCAGCTTTTGCTAAATCTGTACGAATTACAAAATAAAAGCCTTTAAATTTGAAAAAGCCCTGCACTTTTATACACAAACCTAATTTTACTGTGATTGTCACCAGCATAGGAAGTCTGCCACCGACGCCTTGTGTGAACTCAATGTTTTGAATGAGAAACAGCTTGCAAATGGACATTTGACGAGGGATTTACTCATTTGGCTGCTGATGATTTATTTTGCCTGCCAGAGATGCAAGAAAAGGTTGGGATGTTCTGTGTATGAAAACACCACAAATATGTGGGTTTAAAAAAATAACATCTCTCATCTCACGCACACAGAGCTTCTCCCAGTTCAGCTGAATCTAGTCACTCTTTTCTACCTTAATCATTAATGCAACAGAGCCAACATGCAGGCAGGCCACATTCTTTAAATATAAAAGTGCAGTTTAAGTAGCTGTATCTGTTGCACTCAGCAGAATATAATCAGCAGACAGGAGGAAATGGGCAAAGCGAGAGGATTTGCTGAGAATCAGAGACTACAGAACAGAAAGAGAGCACTGTGTACTTGAATCGGAATATTTCCTGATGCATCTGTCTGCTGCTTTCCTCTCTGAGGAGGAAAAAGCTGCTTCTGCTCCCACTGCTGAGCATCACTGGAAATCAATCACTGTACCTTATAAATGATGCTGAGGCTTTTCCCATGGTACGAGCCAGCCTCTTTTCCCCGTTCCTTGGTCTGCCTGTGCATCCTTTACCCTGGATGACTACAGCTGTGGAGGCAGAGGTTCTTCTGAAAGGATGCTGATGTAAACGCTCGCAAAGAAGACACCAGCTCCCTCTCAGCTTCCTCCCCCTCCACTCACACTCAGTGACCAGAGATGGAGCAGGAGGCTGTGAGAAACAGGAGCTAACAGAGCTGCTTCCTCCACAGGGTCCTAGTGCTCCCATTATTTTGTTAAATGTTTCTTTTAATCACTTTGTATTAAATTAAACAGAATATGCAGGAATTCTCATCATGGGTGCATAAACATGTATTTTATCAACATTGTCCGAATGATTTCAGTCATTTAAGAGGGTTCTGCTTGATGTTGGTCAAGATGATCTGTACAGGATAACAGAAGTTAGCGCTCATGCTAATTTAGTTTTATTTAATTTCCTGTGTTTATGTTGTTAGACTTAGACAAGTTCAACATTTATGCTTTCTCAACAAATGAATTTAAACCTGTGCTGATGTGATTGTTGATGCTAAATTGTCATCATGCTAACAAGCTGATTGTTATTAGACTAAATTGTTTACTCAACAAATATTCTGGGTATAACTGTCACCATAAATGTTACTTTAACTGTAGACACACTGTGGACTTTAGTGTTGCCAGATATGTGATAATTATTTTTTATGTGACAGTTTAGGGTCTGCATGACGTACGATCCATAGTTTTTGAAAAAGACAAATACTTTATATAATCATTTTGGCATTCACGGTAACCCCCACATTTAATCAGAAAGTTTGATCCGACCCCCCAGACTGTGTACTCTGCAGGCGCCAACCCCCACCATGATCACCGCCATCCCCAGGGGGATGTTCGCCCCCCCTCCTCATCAATGTAACGAGACAAGCAGGCCTGTGTTAAAAGATTTTAAGCAAAATAAGAACCAGTGTCAGGTTTTGTTTCTAGCTTTTAGCTATTGTGTTGCTATGTAGCTTTTAGCTACTGATTTGCAGCATTTAGCTTTTAGCTAAACATTTGCTACTTTTAGATTTCAGCTAGTGCTTTGTTCTTTTTTACTAGTCTTTTGCTCATTTTAAATTTTCACTAGCAATTCATTACAGTAGCATTTGCCATAGCTTTCAGCTAGCATTTTATCTAGGCTTTTGCTACTTTTAATTCTAGCCAGTGTTTTGTTACCCTTAACTATCCATCCATCCATCCATTATCTTTACCCGCTTATTCCATTTTGGGTCACGGGGGTCGCTGGAGCCCATGTCCAGCAATCACTGTGCGAGGGGCGGGGTACACCCTGGATGGGTCTCCAGTCCATCACAGGGCCACATAGAGACAAACAAGACAAACAACCATTCACTCTCTCACTCACACCTAGGGACAATTTAGAGTTACCAATCAGCCTAACTTGCATGTTTTTGGTCTGTGGGAGGAAACTGGAATACCCGGAGAAAACCCATGCATGCATGGTTTTTAATTTAATTTACTTTTTTGATTATTATTTTAGCTGTTAGCTAGTGTGCAGGTGATTTTTTGAGAGGTAAAACGTTAGCATCTTTTGCTCTGATGTTGCTATTCATGAAAAGTCACATTTTCTTGGTCTCTCGTCCAAAGCCAATATACTCTGCTCTCATTGATTGCAACGAGTGACCTCTGCATGACCTTATGGTCATAAACCTTTGAATGCTTCAGTCTCTATCTAATTCCCACATTCCTGGCTTCTCTACCAATTTATCCACATTGTCGATAATAATTAAATTAGCCCTTTCATGGACATAAAGTGTCTCATAGTACAAGCTTTCCTGAGACTGTGAGGCATTGATTAGGCCAAGCCTCAGCCTCCACACAACCAGCTTCTCAAACAGGGACTCTTGTTGCCACGGTGATCTTTTTCACATACGGTTCATCTCATTGCTCCATCTGTGGAGGACAATGAAATCTGGGTTATTATGGATAAGGCTACTCTGCTGAAGGAGTGGGCATGGAGCTGCTGAGTCCTGTGCGTTTCATTTGCATTTGCAAAGTTCCCCCATAATAATACACACAACATTTGCATTTCACTGAAATCACATCTTGCATCCCTTTGACCACTGAAAATCACATTTTCCTTGACAGAAGCTTTCGCTCATTGTTTGATCAAATTATTTCACCGGCTGTTTATGGAAACATTTAGTATTTGCTCTCTTCTGGGTTAGTTAAACCCAGTTTATCAGTTGTTAATAAATTAAGATAGAATAATATCTGATTGATTGTACCAACTAGAATTCAAACTGCTTCAGGAGTAGAAATAATCTGTGTGTTTGGAGATCAAGTCTCAGCTACTACCACACCAAATTATAGCTCAATATCTGGGTTTTTATTAAAACCCTAATCAGAAAAAAAAAAAAACAACTAATGACATAAGTCAGTGTTTGAGTCAGCTCTAAGGAGTCGTCAATACAGATGAATTCTCCTCCTAAAGAAAAACATATTCTCCGTGTTTTTCACTGCTTGCAAGCAAACGTAATCGCCTGTTTTTCGGCGAACTCTTTCAGAACAAAACTTTAGAGCGTGATGAGTAGAAGGGCTTGCCAGACAGCACTTTACTTACTATGGTTGTCATGGTGAAGGTGTATTAAGATGTCTTGTACCACTGAGGAGAGAGGAGAAACATACTTTGGCAACATGATGCCTCTCAAACCTTCACATTCAGGTAAACTGTGGGGTCCATTTGAGCCAAGCTGTAAGTTTGCTGCACATCTTGACATGTGTATGTGTGTGAGTGTGCACGGTGAATGTGCACGGTGTGTGCGTGTGTCTATGAATGTGGGAGCACGCGTATCAGGTGTTGACTTGCGACAAAAATAGCACAGTCTCGCTCGGCCTGCAGCACCAATCACTGCCACCACAAATACAATTGTTTCCATGGCAACCGCGAAAATAGACTCTACATTTGCACTCAGAAATAGCAAAAAAGGGACACTGCAATAACCCCAGAGATCCCACCACCACCACCACACACACACACACACACACACACTGCTAATAATAACCACGCAAACAACAGCAGCGCTCAGAAATAAAGTCATGCCATCACATTTAGCTGAGCATAAT